ATTCTATAGGATGGGAGTGCCCGGTTCAGAACTCTTGCAACGGAAAAGGCGCATCCTGTACCTTGTCAACTGACAGTTGAAAATATACCGGGTGCCCGATCGCGTACGACAACTTTTCCCCGATGCTCGGTGTTATTTTTTTTTGCGTTGCCCCGTCAACGACATCGTCTTTTAGCGAGTGCCAAGAAAAGAGGTGGATTCAGAGACGCGAATGCGAAAACATTGTTTAATTTGATACTTTGCATGTACTGATGCGTTAAAAGTTATATTTAAAAAATTAAAGAATATTTAAAGTTATATTTAAAAAATTATATTGCTACTTTACGCCGTTCCCGCATAAAGATACATTATTTCGTCCTTCCTCGATTTCATACAAGAGAATTACGCACTGCATCCCAAGCAAATCCTATAATAAAAAGCTAAAGAAAGCCGGCCAAGCTCTTTGTTCCGCGTTAATAATAACTGTCTTTTTCTTGGGATTCTGCGCGCTCGAGAAAATAAAAAAAGAAATAATTAAAAGGGACGACGGTTCCCTTTGCGCTCTCGCGTATTGTTGGGAACGTTTTCAATACTGTAATAAAAACGTTAACCAGCTTAGCGATAATACGATTAAATTGTAATACGCACTCGAGCGATATTTCTCAATTTGCCGTAATTTGTGAAATAAAATAGCAATTAACAATAACAAAACCACACTTCGGTATGTAAAACAACTGAATCGCCCTTAATCGTTAATCGAGATCGGGAAATTAATCGTAAATATCTTTCAACAGTAATCGGATTAGGTAAACAGGAATCTCACAAATACGCAGATTTAAGAATTACACACAGAAAAAATTTCCGGATCCAGTGCTATTACACTTCAATGTATCATAAAACAGGATCGATATTTATTTAGCGCCAATCATATTTATTATAGAGAAAGAAATATTTTAATCTTAAATGAAAAATACTAAACTCTAGAATAAAATAATAGTATGTATCGTCTTTTGTCGAATATCGCGGTGCCAACTTCGTGCGTTGTAAGATGGAGGGAAAATTTATTCTAAACGCAAGAACATATAAGCTTGCATTTAAATAAGTGACTCTTGTCTCAATATAGTAAGTCAATCTTTTTTTAATTCGATAGAGAAGAATAAGAATTATTGATTTTACTTTGATATTGTCTTATTTTTATACTAAATAAGGTTGTGAAAAATATAAACGCGTCAAGAATATTGTTTGTCCCGGTAACAGAAATCCTTCTTGTGGGTGTACAATTCGGAGTGAAAGTATTCAAGTGTCGCCGCGTAAAATTTTTGTAAAACTTGAAAATTCGCGAAGGAGGAGGCGCTCCAGTTGCGTTTTCGAGCAGCGACGATTCCACGCCGCGCCGTGTTTAATCGATGTCGCAATGAGACGTGATAATACATTCGGCGATGCGTGTACGCGCGTTCCACGTGACATGGCAAATGGGTCACAGCGATTCCATCGCGGGCGTAGATGAAAAGTTCGTCCAGCCACGGGGGATAGGTCCAGCCTAACAGCGGCCTAAAGCGCGGCCCTTCGTACGGCGAGCGCATGCACAGCTTTCCCGTGTAACCGAACCCCGATGATATCGCATTAACTCGCTCATTAAATTGATCACGAGTAGCACAGGGACGGTTACGTTACTCGACAATCCACCGATACCTGATAATCGTACTGGCGCAACCAGCACGCGAGGCTTGCACGGCGAAACAAAGAAAAGACACGAAGGGAGGGAAGTTTGTCAATAGATAAGTTACACCTCCAGGCGTTTATGTAAAACCGTAATATTGGAAGTGACTTGTTTCCTCGGTAACTTTTAAAAAGATAACGCCTCGAATGCTCCCACGCGGTGATAAAGAAATAATGTATTTCCTATCGAACTATAACGCGTTCCGAGGGGGAAACCACTGAGGGCATTGTGGTGTACAGATTTGCGGCATTACTGGGCATTACTAGACATTACTAGACGTTTATTTGGGCATTAGGCCTTGCTGGGACATTAATTAAGATAAAATAAATAATAAAATTAAGTAATGCCCACTGAGCATTAGTGGGCATTGGTGTACAAGATTTTGGTCAGCGGTTTCCCCCTCGACGCGTCCTCTTCGTGCACGTTTATCTTTAAGTGACACAAACGCGAAAACTTAACGTCGGTGCTCCGAAGCTTCCGTCGAATCCCCGAGTGACGTGACGTAACCGCGCGTCCGAAAAATGCACCGAAATCACGTCGGGGCAGAGGGTGACCCGCGTGGGCTCGAGATCAGATGACCAGATGAGACGTTGGCGTCATGGATGCACGCGTGTTCGTTCGTTCTGCTACACACGACGTGTCAATGGGGTCACGGCAGTTCGATTACCGTCGAGATGTAGGCGAGATCAATCCTCCCACGGGGTAGGTCGGCACCACGGGGCGCATTCGACGGAAGAAAGAATCACTCCGGGGGAGAGAAGCCGGTGGACGCGACACGAAGAAACTGAGGGAGTGGTTTTAAACGCATGATCGAGGCTCATTGTTGCTGGCTTAGTCGCGGGCACTTGTATAACGTGAGTTAAACGAATGGCTTTTTTCCCCCAACTATCTCAAACAATATGGAAAGTCGAAGAAAACAAGTGGGGCGTTGGCCGTCTCTTGTCCGTTGTTTGAGACCAGCGTCAGCATCGAAGACATTAACGAGAAATTTCACGCGAGCTATCGCTGATCAATTCAAGTATCGGTAGTGAAGATTCGTTCGCTCTCTAGGGCCGGTATTCATAATCAGTTTTTATTTCAAGAGTGTCTCAAGTAATATCTTACAAGCAGGGTTGGAATACAGAATTCTACATTTTTTTTTATAAAGTCCGTGCCAGTGGTAAAACCCGGTATTTTTCGGAAAAAAACCGGCAAAAACTGATCTTCTCTATTAAAAACGATAAGTAGAAAACTTTTAGAAAGCACTGCAAAAAAGTATTGTTTCCCCACACAAACTAAAAATTAATATAAAATTTAGTATCTCCGAAGTTCTCGTTTTAAAAATAAGTATGTATTAATTTCAACAAAACAATTTTTTTATTAAAAAACTTATTATATTGGTTTCTTTTTAAAATAGTGATTAATATCTATAATTTAGTATTTAAAACAAACATAAATAAAAAATATAAATAAGGCTCCTATACAAAACAACTTAAATTAACGAAAGTAATGTTGGAAAACGTTTAGGCAATGTGAGCTGTTATACATATATAAAAATTTTTTACACCATCTTCAACGGGCGACGACTCACACTGTCGAAACGTTTTCCAACATTACTTTCGTTAATTTAAGTTGTTAAAACAAACATCTTTTCTCATAAAGACTATAAAAATGACTAATATTTATATAAATATATTTTTAGAATTTTTGCCAATTTGTTCCATTGAATAAAGCTCGGGATGGTAAAAACTTTACCATGGTTTCTTCCACCCCCTGGATTTTTGCAGCCAATCCTGCTTACAAGACGCTAACAGGGCTCTGCGAAGACCTGTGTCCACGATGTTGGTCCAAGTTCTATTGTAGCATCGTGGACACAGGTCTTGACTAAAGCCAACGGCACACGATACCATTGCTCCTACTAAATCCAGTAGGAAAAATAGTATCGCGTGCCGTTGGCTTATAAACACGAGCCTAGAATGTAATTTGCGTGAGAAATACTCTTGACAACAATTTTCCAGTTCGCTGGTTGCGATAGGACCTAACTACTCGATTAGAAGTTTTGCAAAGTTGAACTTGTATTATTTAGAAGATATTCTCTCGCATAATGTTTTCCGAAATATTTCTAGACAAAGCGATCGCGGTACTTGAATAAGAAATAATTGTTGAAACTGTAACATAATTTGTAAAACTGTAATATTCTTCTGATTTAGCGAATTCAAGCGGCAGTAAAGTTCGAACGAGTGCACTTGGAGTTCACTGACTATTAAAACCGCCCGAGTCTAAAATTCCATCAAATAAAAAGTGAAAAAATCAACGAAGTTATAAAAATGCGGTACTAAAATTTAAAAAAAACGTAAAGTTAATCAATCGGCTTTTCTTCAGATTTAATTCTCTGCTGATTCTCTCTGATGAGAGAATAATGAGAGAGTCTTCCAATAATCTGAGAAACACTCATCTTCATTTCTTCTAAAGAAATCTAATCATCCCATTTGTATAGTTTCGTTATAATAATTTATATTTCCGTTTATCCCGCAGCGATAACGGCTCTTCGCTCAACTATACACCTGGAAATTTGTCGGGTGCGCGTTGTAGCTTTTAGGACGTTGCATTCTCGAGGGCTGTACTTTTAATACCGCTGCGCCCTTCGGCATTGTGAACCCCAGAATGGATCAATCATTGTACACGGTCCTCGCTAATAGGCCGATTGAAGCCAGCCAGCTTTGACAGGTACAAGTATGGATATCCAAAGATCCCATCGAGGAGTAAATATAATAACGCGCTTGAAACGTATTCGAATTCAATGTCCCGCCCGAAAGATTTATTTGAAAGATTCATCTGACACTTGTATTTGTTCCGACAGTTGCATTTTCGATTAAGGAAATCGCGACGTTGAGATATTTTACCGGTGGCCGCCATTTATTTTACATCGTCCATACTCGAGGTGAGAATTGAGTCTATCGAAATTGCATTATAACGGCTGAGTTGCAGCCTCGCAGTTTCTATAAATCAAAGCACGACGAGACCCAGTGAGAAATGATTCATCGATCGACGTCGAAATGATGTCGATTCGACGTCGTTTCGACGTCGATCGACGAATCATTTCTCGCTGGGGACCGTATTGCAGATAATATATATTTTACATACTTTACGACGCAGAATTCCGCAACGGGCCCAACCACAGATAAATAGGCAGATCACCGAGTGCTCGCGCGAATCGTTGGAACGGTCGAGACGACTAGAGTATAGACGGAGAAGCGAACAATAGCAATCCGCGGAATCAAGTTGACGCAAGGACAACGCACAAATAATTGTGAAAACTCACCGGAGGGTTGCTGCGCCGTCGCCCGATGCCTGCCGGACCGCCGCCGCTTCCTCTCAGCTTCCTCCATCGGCAATCGGCACAACGCGGCCCTCGCGAAAGAGGCGCTGATTATATCGAGGCAACGCGCGACACGGCACTCCCGGCGTTAACCGACGCGAGGAAAAGAAGTACGAGCCGGCACGATGGCGTCGCGCGGAATGGCGGGAACGTCCCGGCGAGGACTCGGAGATACGCGAGACTCGGCGCGTCTCGCAACCGAACGCGAGCGTTCTCGCGCCGACATTTCTTCTCGCCGCGCGTCACGCGTGGAAAACACGAGTATCTCAACACGCGCGAAGAGACGCGAGTCAAAGTTCGGAGCTCGGTATACCCGCCGCGCCGAAGATTACGACCGGGGTTACTCGCGAGATTCACGCGTCTCGGTGGACCGCCGACGCGCGAGCGTCGTGTAATCTATAGCCGCGATCGCTCGACTTGATCGGCGACAAACTCACCGCCGTCCTGGAAAGCGTCGCGACGTCCGTCTCGGCGCGGGATACCGGCCCGCTGCGTGCCCGCGACGCTCCGCGATGCTTCTCGAACAGACCAACATGGCGCCGTACCCGGCTGCCCCCGCGCTACTGCGCGATACTACGCGAGTCAAGTCAGCAGCGCGCGTCAAGTCGGCGACGCGACGTGAATATCACTTCGATGTCACTCGCGAAATGTATCTCGTATAAACGCGCACTTAAATTCACATGTCTGTCGATAAACAATTCCTCTGCTCAAGTTAGATCGGAGGAATAGCTTCCCGTAGCTCCAAGTGCACGCTCCGAGAAACGAAGACGACGTCGATCGCACGAACGCACGTATCGTCCCGTGCCGCTCGTACGGCAGTTCGAGGGATTACGCGACGCACGTCTAACTGCGGCGCGGCTCGCCGCTCGTTTGTCTCGAGCCGCCGCGCCGCAGCCGAACGTCACTTGTTTTTGTCTCGAGAGCCGCCGCGACCGCTGCGCGCTAAGGTCAGAAAAACTTTCCGTGCGCCGCAGTATCGTTCGAGCCGCCGGTACGTGTGCCACGGGGCGACGTGCGTGATTGTTCTCCGCGCGATTAAGCGGCGCTACGGCCTCGCGATCAAACCTTTCGATTCCGCAGACGCCGCGGGACGTCGTCTTCGTTTCTCGGAGCGTGCGTCTCGAGATGCGGCAAGCGGACCGTTGAATCGTCGTCTACCGTGGTCTACCGTTCGCGCTCGCTATTCCTCCGATGTAACTTGAGTAAATGAAAGTTCGGCGAGTGTTCATCGATAAAAGGCACGTGAGTTTACACGTTTATTTAAGATACATTGCACGAGTGATGTTACAGTGATACTCAAGCCGCGTCGCTGACTCGACTCGCGTAATACCGCGAGGTGGCGCCGGGTGCGCCGCTGTGTTGGTCTGTTCGAGAATCATCGCGGAGCGCAGCGGACCTGGGGCTCGGTTCTTGAATTTATTCGAAGGAGAAACGCATGCGAAAATTTCGCTCTTACAGAAAAGTTGCGAGTCGATAGGCTATTCGCGTGGCTTTTAACCAATCGACTTTCAACTTTTCTGTCAAAGCAGGATTTTCGCATACGTTTCTCCTTCGAATGCATTAAAGAATCCAGCCCCTGGGGCTCGATTCTTGAATATATTCGAAGGAGAAACGTGTGTGAAAATTCTGCTCTTACAGAAAAGTTGCAAGTTGATTGGCTACTCGCATGGCTTTAACCAATAGATTTAAACTTTTCTGTCAGAGCAGAGTTAATTAATTGTGCAACCATAAGTGCATAAAAGTTAATGCTGCGTTCAGCAGAAAAAGCTGCTTTGCGACTGTTGTAAAATTCATGCATCTGATTGGCGTATGCTCTTAAATTCACTCAAGCTTAAGAGAATACGCCAATCAGATTCAAGAATTTTGCAACAGTTGCGAAACAGCTTTTTCTGCTGAACGCAGCCAATAAAACGAATTACAAGCGCAAAAACTATATTTGACTGTGTCGGTCAAAAAGTTCCGCGGATCGCTTTTATTCGCCTTTCCGCTTACGCTCTATTCGAGTCGAACGTTTGAACGAGCACGAGCATTCGTCAAATTGTGCTTCATGAAAAAAGTTCGCGTAAATAATGCACAGAAACGATCCACGTAGATCGAAATAAAATTTACGACACAATCCTGCTATTGCTATTATCATTGCACAGGGTGAGCTTTATTTCGTGATTATTTCGTGAACTAGGGGTGCTTTCGCGACGTAGAGTAAAATGATCCGGATCAAAATGATCCGTGCTATGATTGGTCAAATCTGAAATTTCATTGAATAAAATTTCAATGAGATGCTACGAAATTTCAGATTTGACCAATCATAGCACGGATCATTTTATTCTACGTCGCGAAAGCACCCCAGTTGGAGCGAAAGCTCTCTGGTAGCACGGATATGAACCAAATAACGTTTTACCATCTGGAAAAGTGTATGCCACGCAGTTCCCACGATGGCGCTACAAATCAGCACCACAGTACAACCAGTATGCCCACTCGCTCTTTTGTTTCACGTTCGCGCCGATCCGTACTGCGCATCCGACATGTTTTTATTATAACCAATCACAGGATTT